TTAGTTCTCAGTTATTGCAAGGTAGAAAGCCGGCTGAGCTCGGATTATTCGTACGTTTCTCATTTGAAAATTGTAAGAGCTTAAAGTCCACGGAATCGAGGGTCTTGTCTGAATTATATTCACGTCTCTTCATTATTAATTTTTCATTTAAAAAATGTAAATATGAAAAATATTATGTATTGTGCGAGAGATAGTATTAATTTTGTAATTAAAATTGTAATTAAAATTGTATTCACAATTGATAGACGTATTTAATTTTTGAAAGATAAAGGAAAAGCGTCTATGATATTTTAATATTTAAAATCAAGCCTTAAAAGATTTTACCGTTGCATTAAAATTATAATAAAATTATTATGATTTCGCTAATAACTTGCAAATCTCGTTCATTAATTACGTAAAAGCCAAATTGCACATTGATTGATCAAGGATGTGTCAGCACTCGATATAAAATATAATATATATATGATTCTTGGTTGCATTCCGGACAGCCATAAAAATAATCCGCAATTCATCCTCTTTCTATACTGACTCAGCATTTTTATCGTTAAAATCATCCGGAAAAGATTGGCACAGCTTTAAGATTAAATCGACTACGAGTACCAAGTTGACAAAGCAACTATACAAATAATTGTGAATTAACTTTTTAATCTAAAGTTTGAAAAAAGTATTTTTGCTTTGCACCAAAGTAGAGAAAAAAATTGATCAAGCATGAATAGATTTGTTAAAAAAAATTGGTTTAGAACTTGTTATAAAAATTCTATTTATTTTTCAATAAAACATATTTATATCTGAATATTGAAATATTCTGACAGCTTGAAGAAAATTTCGGACTCACAGGAAACCGCATTCATATATTACTGTATTTCAAATATTTTATTAGGTCCGAAATGTTCTGCAAGTGGTCCAAAATATGTAGATCTGACATCGATGGTTGCAAGAGTGTGTAGTTGGAAAATTAATGGAGCACTGCCGCTAATAACTAAACACGGATGCGCAGCATCCGCAGTTCGCGCGACATTGCAAGTGCTTGTATCACCTGTTACGCCTGTCATTTGCTTTTCCGCACTTCTCTAACATCCTGGCTGTTATTACGTTCTCCATACCATTGAGAGTTCGTATATGCTAACATTGGTAACCGACACGGTAGCGCCATCGATTACCGATATTTCGCGTAGCGACAGGAGAAGGCCGATCAATGGGGAAAATGCAGCGCGCGCGAAAGTGCCGGAGCCAATTCTGAACGATTCGTAAAACGCTACATTGCGATCGCGCTGCCATATGGCGCGTAAAGCGTCCACCGGATACGACGAATAAAGCGAAATCGCATTTACGGGCTGAAATGTCCGTCGACCCTCAGGTGATTTATCATACACCGCGAAAACTCTTTCGGGTCGATGCACGTTGATATATCTTTGTCATTCGACCTTGCGGCACACTTTTATCCGATTATACAGTCAATCAACATGGATCGCCCGACCCGAGAACCGTTGTCAGGCGTAACAAAAGGAACTCGTCGATTCCATTTCACTTAGTTTCCGTTTCCAACTGCCAATTTCCCAAGGCACGACCACGTACGGGTATCGGGAACACGGTAAATTGAATCCGCGATCCCCGTTAAGAGCATTTGGCTTGCCGGATAATGTGCTTGGTCGGCGGTTTCTCGGCTCCGCGATAGATTTCCTTTTTCATGAAAAACGGAGAAAAATGGACGGTTCTGGCCTGTCGATGCCATCGTTATCAGCCACTTTATGAAGAGAGTCCATCAAAGTCACTTCGCGAAGATATTTATCAAAGGATAAGGGACTGATCGGTCGTCTTCGTCGATCGATCGCGTTGTGACGCGATATTAAAATAATTTCAGTCGGCCGCCGTGTGTGTGGGTGGCCGAGTTTTCTAAACATTCGGCCGAGTATATTTATCAGCGTGCATGCACGAAATATGTGTGCGTGCGATCGTATACGCGCGCGGGATTTGCGTACAAGCCGGCGGATTTTGGCCGCGCGGGAAAGACATGGAAAGCGGATCTCTGCGGTCTGCTGGATCCGCCGCTAAAAATACACGTCGCAATAAACTCAAGGGTGACGTCCACCACGCGGATCGACGACGTTTTTAGCCGTCCTTCTTCTTCGAAACTTTTGTTTCTTCTCTTTAACTATCCGCCGTACTCCGAGATTACGTTCCGCAATGTTTACGCCATTACTCGCCACCGTAAATGACCGGATGATTTCATCAACAATGCCTGTATTTACGAAGCGTAAAAATAAGCATCGAAGAGAATACACATTTTCGGCGGCATCTAATGGCAAGCAAGATTATTTGGAAGCTTCTCTTCTCACGACTTTGTTTCCTTAATTGAGTAGTTCGTTATACTTGTTAGCTAAGGCTGTAAAAGTTAGAATTAACACGTGGCTCATTGCGTCAACGTTTGCCTTTCTGGCGGGTTTATTATAATAAGACACCTGCACAACGTAACGTTACGTCAAGGATAATTAATAATAACACCGTGTCTTTAAAGTTCAAAGTCCTTGAGAATCAAGGCCAAGTTACATTATTCTCGCCACACACACACATTCGCCCTATAACTACGCAATTTAATTAACTCGTTAAAAGATTTAAGAGCCATCTCAACATTTTCGAAATTTTACTTTCACGTTGTTCTGCAATTATTATTTTATTAATAATTTCGTTATTTGCATTGAATTTCACTAAACAGGATATGCTTTAATAAATATTGCTAATTATGAACTAAATTTATTTAACATAAATTATTTTCTAAAAATATATCCAGCAGAACAAATAAAACGAATGTGCTGATAATTATTTTTAAATTTGTGCTATACATAAGCTTTTACATAAAATCTTGGATAGAATCTAGATAATACTGAGTAATTTGGTGACAAATATGAGGCATTCTATAAGCTTCTCATGCATGAGAAGCGCTTACGGCGTTCTTGAGAGAATATTCGTACGCTGCTGACGTTCATGGAAGACGATGTGGCCCCTTTGTGCTCGTGTGGTGTCATGGCGGCCATTAAACGCGAAAGCGCATAAGAGAGAGAGAGTGTTCTACCTTGTCGATGGCAAACTTGTGAAAACCGCGGTCGATCTACTTTAATCACTCTTTACAACATGATATAAATAACTTTTCAGTTATTTATCACCCGCTTGCCATAAAAATCTTTTCCCGCCAGCGGTAAAATGCGATCGACGTTTTCGTGAAGGTAATTTATTATTCTGACGAATAATTTTATCTTTGAATTAATAATAGGACTTTATAATAGCGAATCTTCGATTTTGCAATGACAAAGTGATGGATAATGTGACCCTTGAAAGCACGATATGCATCAGCGGATAATACGATGGGACATAGATCGATCATTTTATAAATGTCAGAACTATAATTTCCACGGAAAAATTCGTCCTTCGTTGCGGTTAAATGAACGTGAAAATGTTCGACATCGGAATTCTAATGACGAAAAACAATAACCCAGACAACTTCTTGGCGCGTTTGCAAGACCATTAATTCGCCATGAACATTAATCATCGGGACGATCAAAATCGACGATCGAGCGTCGCGTCGTGCGAGAGGATAATTCTTTACGTGGATGACTTCTCGACGGCAACCAGCCAGGACTTGCCGCCGAGATTGTATAACCGCGCCGAAGATATTTACGCATTGTCCGTCGGGTCGGACGGTCCGCGGATGGGTCATCGTTCAAGTTTGTATCCACCCAATCCCGATAGTTTGGTTTTCCAGCTGGGCGATCTTTATCCTTTGAACTCCGCCGAGAGATCGCCTTCTTCTAATTTGCTCTGCTCTCAGACGAGCACGCCGAGACGTTCCAGATGTAATTTAGACGTCGATCAGCGGTCCAGCAGACGCTCAAGTATCACGAGTCACTCGAGAACAAACAGCTGCAGTAGACCGACTCCTTTAGGTAGGATATAATTGGAATCCGGGATAAATTACGGGAGAAAATTTTCTATTTTATTAATCAATTACAAAGGAATAGAATTAATTTTGAATAAATAACGTAATCATATTGTTTATGATATATATATTTTTCTTTTTTACGATATTAAAATATAATTCGATAAAGTATTTACCCTTTACGACTGTGTGACGTCATTGCTCGAATGCAAGATATATAGGGTATATCGCATTTAGCCCGAGCATCCAAAAGCGATTATCGCTTCTATTGATCAACTTCTGTGGGCGTGAGAAAGACGCTTTAACATTAATACGTGACGATGACGTGAAACTTCAGGGGATGATAGAAGAGCGAGTGTTAGCAAGAAAACCAGGCCACGCAGAGCGAGTACCGCGGCCCCTCGAAAGGATTCCGTGCGTCCTACAAAGGCAGAAGTCAAACAGGCGCAGAAGATAATAGAAGACACCCGCGAACTCGAGCAAGCGAGGCGTCACCGGCGCATCGCCATGATCGTTCTCGGCACCTTTATCTTCCTTCTGACGGCCTCGGTGCTGGTGGTGGTTGTCACATTGACGCACAGCACCTTCCTGAGTCCTGCGACAGGCTCGAAGGAGCTGGCCGAGCACAGAGCGCATTCATGTAAATCGTGATTTTTCCAAAATTTTAGCTACTAACTCTGAACTATAGAATATACACGCTCTTATATTAGAATATAAAAGCTTTTGTAGAATTTAAATTTTATAACTTTTATTTAAAACTCACCGCGAATTTTTCATCATCATCGTTTTAACTTTTTTTTGTAGTTAATTTATGTTGTATATTTAATTTTTACTTTTTTATTAAACGATAACGTTTATAGGAATAATTTAAGCTTTACGCCGCTTCTCATTTACGGGCGGTAAAGTTAGCCGCGTCATTGAAGTTAAGAAAAATCTGTTTCGAAGAAGCGGCAGGAAAGTGGCATAAATTTACACTCGCTCCATTACACGTGTTGCCATTATATTATACTTCTCTACGGAGATACTTCCAAGTTGCGCACTTCACTCACTGCAGCTCTTATCATTTCAGTACGGAAGGAGAACGAGGAGCTGCTGAATTCCCTGAACAGTAACATTTTCGTGCCCGAGAACGTCACGGCGTCACCTTAAGCGGAGTGATCTTTCCGAACGGAAGGGCATCGCTCGTTCGTCGTTCTCGATTCGCTTCAGTCACGTGACACGAGGTCTCGTGTCGTCCTTACCTCACGAAGCGAACAAGATGAACACGGCGGTTTTGCGATGGCGGACGTCATATGAATCCACGTCGGCGTCATTGTGTTTTGTACGAAACGCGAGACATCCGGGCGATTCAGGGGAGAAATTTCGAGACAATGATGAGAAAAAGAAAAAGGCGGCTCTGGTATCTGTCGTCTCCGATAAATCTTGGGTCGGCGGATCGGATGTTAATTAGGTATCGCAGTTTTAACACGACGCGTCAAAATCGCGTCCTTGTATACGACGCTGCGGAAATGTTGTTGCGACGAGGCCGCGGGAAATCCGATCGCAACGTTCGACACGCCATGTTGCGTCGCTGGTTGTATTGTTGCCGCGTTCGGAAACGTCGCGTTGATACATACATATATATATATATATATATGTGTATATATATGTATATATATATATATCTTGTATCGATGCAGACTAGATGTCCTCGATTCCAGCCAGCTTCGCCCAATAATAAAAGCTCACTTCAATGAGAAGCATCCAAAAAAATGTTCAATCTGAATTTAATAATTAGAGGAGCTTATAGCCAAATTAAAACATTTGTCAGTAAAATTTTTATTAGATTAATGCACTTTACGCCGAAAATTGAAAAATTCTAATGAAACCGCGACAATCGTGTGTCATTGAACGATTGTCTAGTATTACCGCAGCATACGTAATCTGTCATGATAAAACGCGCATCTATGCCAAGTGATTAGGAGTGCCTATTCTGCGTTGAAACGAGTCTTTAATTCTTTAGGCGCGAGATCACGATCTTTGACGAGAGCTCGCGCAATTTGTTGCGGAATTCAATCCGACGTTAGGTCGCACACCGAATGCCAACAACGAAGGAGCGTTTTAGAAGTGACACAGGTGAGATGGCGCGGTGCCACGGACGTGGCATCCGGCCGTCCGTCTGTCGGCCGCGAAGGAATCGGCGTGTGTGCATGAGGCCTCTCGTCTATTCACTTCCTCGGGTACGAGTGGACGTACGTGGCCCGAATCGGGCATGCATGAGTATCGATCCGCGTCATCAGTACGCGAATATGAAGTTTACACGCTGTTGAGAAATCGTGTCGCCAGACAAAGTCGACGTGTAAAGGGATATATAGCTTTCTTGGTGCTTTTTTACATGTCTTCCAGGACGAGAAAGAACGAGTTCGATGAACGAGGACTTTTAGCCGCCGATTCCTCGCGCTGACGACAGGCTGGCAGCGTTTTCATGTAGAAAATTGTATATAAGAGGACTCGTTATTAACAATTGTTTGTAGTTACAAAGTCGAGAGAGTAGTCGAGATAAGGGCCGAATTGTTGTTGTCAAAAGATGAACGGTCGTAGAAGAAACGCTCGTCGAAATCGTGCGATACAGAGAGAAAAGAAGGAAAGAGGAAACGGAGCACATTTGTGATCGGTTATCCAAGTATGCGTACGCATGTGTGCGTAAATTGTTGTACGTGTAAGGAACACGTGTGGAAGTTTTTCGCGTGCTATTCGCACGAAACGGCCAAAGTATTTTTATTCGCTTCACTTCGCTGCTCTCAGTGCAATTTCCCATTTCGCTTTGTGACTAATTGCTTAAAAGTTTTATCGGACGTTTTTCGTCGCGATGATGGTGATTCAGCAGGAACTTTTTCCGATACATTTATTTTGTAAGCCCTCTCCGCGAACGTGGAAAATATTGTTTGCCGGCATAACTCGGGCTTATGAATTGCGTGCTTCGCAATTAAGCAATGTCGATAATTCCGTTGGCGACACGCTGTTCTGTATTTTTACAAAAATTTCTTAAATAATAACCATTAATTTTACGAGGACGTTATTGCTGCTTATAGTCAGAAAGCTTTGCACTGTTATATCGTATATTTCATTTTCCTCGCTTTGCTTGCGACTAAAAGTTGATTTTAATTTGATATGGTAGATCGAATTTGGTATCAAGATCTTTGAAATAAATTACATTCGTGACAGCAAATATATTCCATTCAGTGATATACTGATAAAATAAAATATAGGGCTTGATATATGGACATGGTTTGATAGAATCGGCTTGCGCTGAATAATAATGTTTGACGACAAAATCTCCTGTGGTACGATAATGTCGACATCATTTAAGAAAAAGTCCGTAAGAATTTCATGAAGATCGCATTTGTTTGTTTAGAAAAGTTTTTATTGCGTGATACTCGACAAATTACATCATTTAGATCGAGCATTTTTCTTTCAGAACAGTGGCATTTATTACATTTTTTTCTGAAACGCAAAGTATTGGAATACAGTTCCCTTTATGCATTATTTTTTATGTTCTTTTTCCCCGCGTTTTTGTTATTTTTATTATACAAATATATACAAAATTATACGAATGCAGTGAATAGTATTCTCTAAAGTAATTTTAAGTACTGTATTCGAGAATTTCGGTCGTAATTTCGGATTTTCGTGAGTGTTCACTAGCAATCGCTGCAGTTAACGCAGAGGAAAACTTTTCTATGTGAGGTGATGTGCGATAGCGTCTATAAATACTATCGGAGTTTACACCCGCATATATATAGCGACTAGTCCCTAATGTCGTTTCCGCGACGTAAAGTATACGACGTGGAATATCGAGCGCTTAAAAAAAAAGCAAGGCGGAGAATTTTTGATTACTTGTTACCGGACTCATACGTAAACGATGAGTGTAAAGCTATACACCTTCGAAGCGGTCGTATGATTGATCGACCAGTGAGGAGCGACAGGAACTTTTCTTCCTTTTTCGACCAATCTCTTTCACTCATCGATTTCTCTGTCCTCTATGCCAAATTAACGCACGTTTGCGTTGCTCCGTTTCGCGTTGTCTATTCTAAAACAACCGTCCTGAGTATTATGTTTCACTATAAAAATTTCCGCGCCGATCGCGCTTTGATATATTTTGCTTTGCCTATACGAACGATGTAGGACCGACGATGCGAGATCGATCGACTGATCGCACGTTAGATGACTATTTTATTGTCGAAAAAAAAAAAAACAGAAGGAGACGATCAGTTTGATAAATTCGCGTCGCACAATCAATCGGCATACGTAATCGCCGATCTCTCGCGATATGCATTATATAAGAACGTATGTAAGTTAACGAATAATCGGTCTTCTGAGCGAATACATCGGGCTTTTTTGTAGGTAAAATCGGCGTAGGAGATTGTAAATGAAAGAAGTACAGCCGATTTTGCTGATCAGTTTGTTAACATTATAGCGATTCACGGCTGTAAATCTTTCATTTAAATATTTCGGCCATAGTAGTTCTTAGCCGCCGACCGACTCGGCGACGGAAAACGCAATAATTCGCTGTGTTATATGAGGCGCTTTTCTATAAAAGATATTTCCCTTTTCTACCTCTAATTACTAACTTCTAGGGCCACTCGTAGAAAATATTGTATAGCGTACGATATTTTTTTTTTTCACCACGTTCTTCTCTCTCACGACGAGCTTTCACTTCCGTCTTCGTTTTCGCGTACGCTTGGAGATCACTTGGCCTAACGCGAGGGGGCTCGTTTATGTCTAATAAGCGAGCTAATAAATAGTTTAGTGACCGCGCGCTCGTGGCTTCCTGGATAGTTTCGAAAGGATCCCACGAGGGCACGTCGAGTTCGACGAGTGTTCGAGCATACTTAGTGACGTTAGAAGCTTCGCACGAGAATAAACTATGAGCAAAAAATAAAAAAAAAAAAGATACTTGCGCTGGTCGCGTCTTTATTTCTTACGACACTATGATACCACCGAAAATGCAATCGCGCCGATTTGGCATCGCGCGCGACGATCAATGACGACGCTTCTCTTTTGTCAAGATTAAACTTAAAACTTAAGCTCACAGATACGAAAATGCGTGTGCCAAACCTGTGCGTGTGTACAATGGTGTGCACTCGAGTTTCTTTCGACAATCATAGTGCCGGTGTGAGTACGATCGCTTGTGTGTGAGTTTTTACGGGAGATAAACGAGCATTTTTTCCCTCTTCGAGAGCACGGCGTGGATCGTTGCGCGAGCGACAAGCTCAACTCAGGAATACAAGCAGATTGTTCTCCGATCATCGATCGTCGAGAATTGTCGAGCAAAGTGTCTCTCGTGTCTCGCATCGTTTCGATATTATCTTCTTATTTTGCAGCTTCGATATCCCGCTGGCGGTGCAATGTAGCTAGCAGAAAAACGAAAGCGGCGTTTGTCGCGAACAATTTCAAGCACCGATAAAATGCTCAAAATATTAGCTTTTAAAAGCCTGGAAACTTAGATATTTCTCGATGCAAACATATTTTGTGTAAGAGAGATGTAACTCAATATATATCAAACTATTTAGAGAAGAGATAAACCGATTTAAAAAATCGATTGGCTTGGAATATATATAGGTATATTTTTTAAATGCTTTCACGTGACTAGACATATGAATGGACGACAATATGCGAATTTATTGCCGACAATTTAAAATTGCAAACAAAAATTCACATTTCTATATTTTTTTAGGAAGATTTTTTTATTTCTATTTTTAGAAGTTTATCTTTCTATTTTTAAAATTCTCTAATTATTAAATGCACACAGTGGGGCTAAGCGAATTCCAAAACGGTCATTTTTCCTCATTTTTCCCATGAGACGAGGCGAATGATAATCCCTTTGTCTCAAAAGACAATGCATATTAAATAAGGAATTCTACGCGGTCTGGACACAACCGTAGACTATGCAAATAAATCCACAGCATTTTTTTTTTTCAGAAAAAAATTGGGCGACGCGCGTAACATTGAATAATAAGCAGGATAAAAAGCTACATGTAACTTTCATCTTGTCGCTCTCGTACGCGAGGCACGCGTGTTTTATTCAAGGAACAGAGTCACGCGAGTGGCGTATTCCAGGCACACTGAGAGATATTTTACGCCAGGGATTGCGTAGCAGTAATAATAATCTCGACCACGAGGTGTGTATCATAGCAAGGCGTTGTGAGATATGTTAAAATAGATGAAATATTATAATAAAAAAAATTTATGTTTCTATATTGTAATAAAACGTTTATGTATAACAAGGTTATTATAATGCAAAGAAGGAGAAGAAAGAAAATATACATACTAGTTGTACGGTTTGCGACGGCGTCTTTACTGACTTCCCACCGATCGCGCTGCCTTCCCGAAAAGTCCTGTGAACGAAAAAATTGTAGGACAATTGCAGGTGCACGGGATTGTGGAAAAGGATCTCGCTCGTCGGTTGCAGATTGAACGGTGAGTCATTTTTTTTCTTTACTGTCAACGTTTATTGCAAACTTCTACATCGTAGAAATCTGTGTAATCGAAAATTCGATTAGTCTTTCAACCCTGCCTAAAAGGGACATACATGTAGAGAGTCGTGCAATAGCGCGAACATACTTGACGCTCGAGTTAAGGTGTAGCTTATTAATTATAGCGTGCTGCGCTAACGCAACGTAGCCGTGACAATAGAAACGAATGATCCATGTTACATGAATTACATTTGCAGCGAGCGTAGACGTTGTCCATTCATGCGCCGCCGACTGTTTGCTTGTCAAACATAGCCGCATATATTTCTCAGTTCACGTAACAGGTGGATCGCGTCAGTAGGGGCAAAAATAAAATTCCCCGCCCCGCCCCTTCGTTCGGGGCGCCGTTAACCCGATTATGAAACCAATCGGATTCTTCGTGTCAGTCGAACGACCGCTTTATTATTGGCGGCCACTTACGCACGCGAGCACGCACCCGGTTATTCCGGTAAGTTTATAGCACGCGTTTGAAGCGCGAATGTTTTCTTTAACTCTAATAACGGGCCACAGTTATATTCTACGCCGAAGCTACTTATACTTATATATTTTTTTCTTTTACAACGTATGTCTCACCCTGCCTGAAAGGGAAATATAAGTTAGTCATGCCGCAGTGCTCGTCTAAATCCTTCTTGCATCAGGGCCATAGGCGTGCGCACGTACCCGTTGCGGATACGCGCGAATCACACGCGCTATATTCTTCAATAACGTTTAATCGTAAGCGTTATATCGTGTTGTTTGTATTGCACCCTGCCTGAAAGGGATAAGGAAGATGTTCCTAATCGCCGTGATATCGCGCCGAACAGGATCCTGCCATTCTTTTTTACTTTCAGAGATTTTCCATCTTATTTTAATTCCATGCTATATTATTCTTGCGTTCTCAGAGATTCTTTATGGTAAGTTTAAAACCCGAGATATATCAAAAAGATTCTATGTACATAATGCATATTCTTTTGCAGAATTAAAGTGACGGACGTTTCTTGTCGGCATCTGTCAGATGTTTTTTGCCCGTTCGGCGTTTATTCGAGGCGACTAATAAATACTTTACGATTAATTAAAAGCTATCAGTCTCAAACTTCGGTTTAACCCTGCCTAAAAGGGGAAAAAAAGATGGTCATGCGAGATTGCTCTGCCATGCTTGGGGCCCTAGCTACCGCACGTTGGGTGCACGGTGGATTCCGAAGAAGCAATTTTACAAAAACGGTTTTTCACAATCCACCGAGCACATTGTAAATTCTCATTATTCTCATTATTCTAGGAGATTCTTTTTCCCGATCGAGTTAACATCGTAATTATAAACATTTCAAAATTAAAAGAATAAATAAACAATTATTTGTACGGTTGCTGAGTCAATACTTTGTTTTACATTCGTTTACAGCAAACGTACAGACACACTGTGTGTGTGTTCAAGTGTAACCGATCTTTGGTAAGTTGATTTCATTCCGCGGATAAAAATACACACTAATCACACAGACAACTGCTAAAATTCCGAAATTTCGTCTATTAAACGTCTCGTGCGTAAATAAAGGAACCAATTTTTACGTATTATCAGCATTAAATGCTAATTAATAACGACATTAAATTTACATCGTTATCTTTCTGGCAAGTTCTACGTAGTTTGATAAATTCTATTGAATTAAGATGTTTAAAGAGATTTTTAAGATATTAAGATATATGTTTGCACAAGTGACAAAATGACACGCTGTTCCTGGCACGTATGTTTAAGCATCATTGAAGCAGCTATCTCATTATCATGAAGTGCGGAGTTTCTTTCCAAATATAGTATCATACGATGATATCTCGATCGGGAAATGCTCTTTTAGCGATTTCGTTACTTCGATCGAAGCACCTACTCGAATATAAGGGCCCTTTCTTAAGCACTAAAATCTTATAAGCTAACTTTTATCTGAGGAATTTTTTCCTTCAAACTCTAATGCCTATCGTTTTATCTTCAGCTTGAGTTTCATACTTGAGTTTTATCACATTATGATATAAAATGTGAAAACTAAAAAAATATTTTAGAAATAAACTTCAATCAAAATGCGACATCGATTGAAGAGAGATTTTGTTAATGATGTAGAGATTCTCAAAATTTTCTTTCAAATTTTTCGTAAAAAAGCGCCAATAAATTCATGAAACCTTTGACAGAGAATATTTTTCGGCTGTAGTAAATAATTAGCAAGCAGTAATATCTTGCTTTTATTTTAATTTTGCAAACGGTAATACGTTGTTTTTCCTTATCAAAGCGACAATTTTGTACCGAAATATTACACTTGATTTTAAATGTTGAAAACATTGCTCATTCAATTGATTAAAAAATCGGCTCTCTGTCAAATATTCCATAATCTGAGACCATCGTGTTGCTTATCCCTATTGTTTAGAAATTATCATGTGTAAATTCATGTAAAACATCTTACTTCCGTCTATCAGCTTAAAGTCTTGTACTTATGTAAATTTGTTCCTTGTTCGTCTCTGCATCCTTGTTGGTCTTCTGCGTCCGATTTTTCTTCTTGCAATTTAACTCCTCCTGGATGTCTAATAGTGACTTGCCTCTGGTCTCGGGCACGATAAACAGGATGAATACAAAACCCAAGAAGCAGCTGGTGGTGAACCAATAGAAAGCCGCGTACACTCCACAGTAATCAGAGATTATCTGATACAATTTGGAGACGATGAAAGCCAGAAAGGAAGACCAGAGATTAGCCAGTGACACAGCGGCGCCTTTGACGTTTGTCGGGAACAGCTCGCCCAACATCATGTACGATAACGGATTCAGTCCGAGAGCGATAATCAGCTCGTAGAATATCACGGAAGAATGGAGTATCCAACCGTATCCTGCTGTATTCCATCCTTGTTGAAATTTGAGGAAGTAGAAAGTGCCGGCGATGGCTAGCGCGATCCCGCCGCTAAAAGTGGTGCCTAGAAGCAGCGGTCTTCTGCCAAGCTTATCGACGAGAATCGCCGCGCCGATACCTGCGATCAGCTGAAACACACTCAGAAGGATGACGGCGGTAGCCGCAGAGATACTTGAGTCGCCCTCCTCAAGGATCTCCTGCGTGTACGACTCGATCGCAGCGATGCCGCTGAACTGGAGGACCAACTGCAGGCCTAAGCTGATGACGATGGCGCGCAAATTGCCACGTGTGCCAACCAAGTCTCGAATGCTACCGCGGTTGCTGATATCGCGGACGACTGTTTTCTGCATCTGCTCCAGCTCTTCATCCAGCTCATTTTTGGTGGCATAGCGCTTCAGCTTCTTCAGGTTTGCCATCGCGTTGTCCGGTTGATTTTTTATCAGTAGATAGTACGGCGACTCGGGCATCCAGACGAAGGCCACTAAGAACAGCAGCGGAATTAATATGCAAATCCCGGCGAGTTTTTCATAGGTGACGTACGGGCCGACTGCGTGGGCGTACAGTTCCCCGAAGGTAACCATTAGTTTGATGAAAGAGCCCAGAGAGCCTCGAATCTCCTTGTCAGCGATCTCACCGATGTACATCGGGCAGACGACGTACACCACGCCCTGACCGATGCCGCTGATGAAACGGGAAGCATAGAGAACGTAGGGATTCCACGCTACATAGACGAGAACGAAACCAATCAACAAAGGGCCGCCGCCTATTAACAAGCTCTTTTTCCGTCCAAGCCAGTCGACGATGAAGGCCGCCAGAATGCATCCAGGTATAGTGCCGAGGAGAAAGAACGAAGCGATCCAGGAAGCGTCGTCGGATGTTATCTGAATGTGGGAATCGGGTGATTTCAGAATTGGTAAGGTGGGTGATGTCCAACCTATGTGAGATCCAGCAGCTGCTAGCGATATGGTAGCTGTAAAAAAAATTGAACGAATAGATAAATCATGATTTGCGCCACTGTTATCTCATGAAGTTTCCTGTATATAAAATATTCAAGAAGACTGAATTAATTGAAAAAATGTAGATAAAGGAAATTAATTATGTACCGTTTATATGAGGTAAGTAGTCAAAATCAAAATTATTACCTATTTATATATTTATTTGCGTGGAAAATACAGATATAAATTTTGAAAACATTTAATCGTATAAAATGAAAACAGAGCTTATATTTAAGATAAACCTTAATTTAATAAATATGTGTTTCATATATTTTAATATTCGAGACATTAAAGTTAAAAGTATTTGCACTTTTGATAAATTTTAAATATGTGCTAAATTAATTAACTTCCAAATGTATTGGATACTTGAAAATGTTTTCAAGATATTTTGCTTAGACATGTTCATCATTTATGCTTTAAGAATTATTTTATCATTTATTTCCTGAGAAATTGAAATAAATTAAAATTTTATTTACCTGTAATCGCTGCTAAGTATTGAGGCCACCGCTTAACAGGTGATTGCTTCATCTTTTATTTCTTCTTATTACAGGACTGAAGAAAGAATCAGTTTGTTATTTAAAAAAATATAAATGATTATATTGGGGTTAAATGTTTTAGAAGAAACGACTAATAATTTAGTAATATTTTTAACGCAATGTTAAAAAAATTTAAATAGAATATATTCTCTTGAATATAACGCTATATTTAAATAAATACTTCCAAATTAAGAACTCAACCCAGTTATTTAAAAAAAATTTCTTGTTATTAAATTTTAATCAATATTATTCTTACAGAGATAACGATGAAACGCGCTAATGCTACCAGAAATTGTGAGGAATCTCCACACCACCGATTTTAATACATTTCAGATGAAATGACACCGTATGTATGGTACCACAGATTTTATATGTTACTTTATCAGCAATTTTGTTATCAGTGATTCGTGCCAAATCTTGTCCCCACCCATATATGTATGTATGTATGAAGATGATGAAGTTTGCTTATTACTACTTTTAATTCTGGTTGAGGAAAGGTGAGTAGGATAGATATCAATATTTTTACGCCTATTTTTGTGCACACATATCTCTATACACTGTTACACATGTTCGACTGTTTTAAAAGATAACAGATATTATGCTTTTATCGCACAAAAATATAAAGGTATAATATAATTCTTACGCAAAATGTACTTTATAAAAATAATATAAAGCATTATTTACTTTATAATAATATAAGTTTATCAAATTTTTATTATTATATAACAAATATAAAATATACTTCGAGCATAATATTTTATTCGACACTTCCGTAAAACATTGAAATGCATAAATATCAACAAAACATTATTTATAGTTATATTATATGTAAAATGTTGACAGTTTATGGTAAAGGAAAATCATGAATGAATTTTGCAAATTTTCTTTTTCTCTTCTCTCTCTTTCTGTTGTTGGTCTGTTTGCCGTTGAAATAATATTAACACCAATTCTGATCATTTCTATTGATATTTAATCGTCATTTTAACTAATTCAAATATTGCAATATTTATTCGAAATATTAAGATTTAATACAAATATTCTATATTATTGAATTGCATTAAATATTAATTGGGTGAAATTTCATAGCGTCTGGGAGAACAGTCATCGCGCCTTTGTTTCCGAATAACGGGATTAATATTTTATATTAATTAAAGAGAAAATCCTATATGGAGTTATTTATAAACACGCCTATCCATTACAAGCCGCTGATTAATAATAACAAACGTGCAAACGTTACACGTATTAGTAATTAATCATTTTACAGCATTACAATTGTGATGTTACAGTCACCCTGGAAAATAGCCTTTGTGAATTATAAACGACAAACGGTGGACAATGAGAGCATAAAGAAGCGCTATTATTATTTTCGTAATGCATATTTATTAAGCAGTTGCTTATATTTTATTGATGCAGAGAGAAAATGAAATCTCTCTGCATAACAACTTGTGTGTTATAAATTATAATGAAAAAATGTCATTGTGTATTTACGTACAATTATCATTTTTATTTTTCCTAATTTTAAAAAATTATTTTTGTTTGGTTTTTCTAAAGGATAAATTTTTGCGCAATTGTAATGATTTTCCACGTGATTTGTACTATCTAAGATTGTTCTAAAATAGGTTTCTGTTTGCAATTATTTCTCGCATCACTTGTTATCGCATAAGGGGATCATAATGATGTGTGATGCGCGTAAATGCGTAATGGAATTTCTGCGTGAATAGGTTACAAGTGCACTGTTAAATGCACTTTTAATGATTGTTTGTAAACTCTTTACTTCAAGGATTTTTTTGATTGTTTTTATAAATCAAATACCTATTCACGATAATTTCTGTCTCGTCTGAAAACATTGATATCTTGTTGCGTGCAAATATGCATGCGATTGGCGCATACATGCGCAAACATGCTGCGTCACAAATTTTTATGAAAACGTGCTTCTTATCGGCCATAATTAGTCTACAGAATTTTGCATGTTTTGCGTCTTTGCAATTACGTTTTATAAATATTCAATAATAGTTTGAAATTCATTACATTGCAAAATAATCGCATAATCTGCGAAAAAATTAAGTTGCAAATTTGCAAATAAAGTATATTATAAAGATAAGAACAACAGAATAAGTTAATTATACATCTGAATACATTTGTATTCACATAGTTTATTTTAATATCGAAAAAATATTCAGATATAGAATATCTTTAATATAAAAAAAGACATTAAGAGATATTATGAATATTGAAATATACTGTTATGTAGAGTGTCGCAATAACCACGACAACATTCGTCAGCGGATAGAGCATAATAAATCAGACAGAAAAATCTTTTACTGTCTTGCAATTTTCGCAATAATTATGGCGAAATTAATTAAAAAGAATTGGCGAAAGTACGCTCTGGTTGTGATAGCGGCAAATGTCGCACGGTAATGAAAAGTTTGTTCGGCCGGTGAAAATAAAAATAACACGCAAGCAACGAGCGGACAGAAGTTTTATTTTTCGTTGCTGTGCAAAAAGAAAAGAGAAATAGATAGAAAAATTGAACGGAATAAATGATGTTGATTGGAAGGAATACCATATTTATATAACTAGTAATTAAAAATATTATAGTTATCAAGACTTAATTAATCACTTAATAACTAACCGTTTTGCAGGTGCTTTGTGAAGAAAGAGGACTTGGTCTTGGTTTTGTAGTCCGTGCAGAAGTGAACTTGAATGGTATGATGCCGACACTTCACTATCGATTCACTTGTTAATTCATATAAAGTTAAAGATGAATTTATCGATATTAAATTGTATTGTTGAGCGGACGGACAAAGCTAGAGCCTCTGACGCACACGACATGTTCAAGACGATTAACGTAATTCTGTAGGAATACTTTGACCACTTCCATAATCTTTTGCTTTTTTTTCTTATCCTGCTTTTTAGGCGATATCAACTATAATATAGATTTTGAGATTTGCAGTAGGGGCTCGTTTTAGAGTCATTAAATTTGTGGATAGCCACGCTTATCGATCATGATAAAATAAATGCAAATAAATATTCGATCTTTGTGTGGCAAGGTCTTGTGTTGAATGTCCATTATGAGTCGACCTTCAATTTTTGTTTCTTAGAATCTATAGAGGAAATAGACCATTGTCCACTATCTAAGGTTTAGAGATTTGGCTTATCTGCTTAACATTCCAGAGACGCCCAAAATAGAGTCGGCTTATTACATGTTTTTTATATTCAATATTTTTACAGATTACTACGGGTTTTTTTGGTGATATAAATAATTTGGAATATCAATAGATTCTCTTTTATCAGATACAGTTCTTATCGTTTTTTTATCCAAAGCAGCATGAGAAAAGAAAGAATCATAGCTTGGTTAAAACGCAACATAAATAATTAGTCAAAAACTATTATAATTTTGTGTAGATTGTAAACTTCGAAGTTAAATTGGTAATATTTTTATTTTGGATAACGCTATCATTTACATAAATATATCGTCATCTCAGACAGTACACATGTCTTAAATGCTATATTTTATTTCAATGAAATGAATAAAACTGGAATGTTTAAACAGAATAAGAAGAAATGCTATATGCAAATTGTGGCATGCTATATGCAGTTTTACGGCAGAAAACTACATTTAAATATGGAAAATGTTTACGCGTTATCTGGGCCAAGCGTTCACGTCGTTAACGTTTAATCCACCGAGCTTCGACGTGACACATTTACGACGTCGACGTTCGTCAGTGGTGAAACTTTGTCTGAAATAAATGCGAATACTTTATACATGCGAAAATATATACATTTGCAAATTCGACAAAATGCAAAACAAGATGAGGAATATTTTCTCATGTTTTTAAAATATATTTTATTAGCAAAGTGAATGGAAACAAATGGAATAGATTATATTTTTGCTGATATCGATAAAATTGGCAATAACATTATATAATGATTTTACTGCAAACTTATTAATTTTACTTTTTGTTTTGTTTTTAAATCAAAGTAGAGATACTAAAAATATATTTAAAATATAATAGAATTGAGATTCATTGGTTGTTATCAGGTGGCATAAATTAATAATACATGCGAGTGGCATTAATGCTTGAAAGCGGTATAATTTTGGAAAGTTATGTTAATTGTTGCGATTCTATTATCAAGAATGAAGGTAAATATTATCTGTATACATTTTTAAAATATAAACCATTACTAATTATAATATAAAATCTCAACTAATGGTGTTGTCTGATTTCTATTTTTAGTTTTTTTTACAGATATGTCATACACGATACGTATTTACATTCGTGTTTCGCGCGTGATAGTCACAATCTATCGAGCGCATCGATCGTTGCCATCGCGCTGGTGCAGGCAGTCGCGAGTCGTCTGCCATCGTGGGGACTGTGACGAGGTTGAAATTCGTGTGCGAATTTAGGAATTTGCAATCGTAGTTCGTATATCACATCTTTTTAACGAAAACTTCGCGTGTTTCGTGGCGAATCGCCGCAATTGCGGCTGTACAGATTCGACGAGAGCAGCTAAGGCTAAACGGGCGCAGCTGAAGATGTGCGGCGGTTTTACGTGCTCTAAAAATGCGCTGACAGCACTCAACATCCTTTACATCGTGAGTAAATCTTGTACATTTTAGACATTTTCTACGAAAAACTTAACAGATCGCTTTTCCGTTCGTAATCGCGCATTTGTCTGCTTTGCTGTTGTTGATTAGGAAGAAATATCTGTACGTTACATAGTTACATCAGTAGTCAAGTAATTTTGAGCACATATGAACTGATTAGCGGTTTCATACCTCTTCCTGAATTACCCTAATTGTTAATGTACATGATATACGTAGAGAGGGAAAATTGACTTAACCATGTTAGTGGTTTGCTCTCACTGATCATCAGATAATTGCATTAAGGATTGCCACGAATAGTGTAATACCAGTATATTCGTGAAACTATTGATTTTTTTTATTTAATATTACTTTTTTACGTACATAGATGCAATGATTAATTATTAGGATGAACTGTTGCAAATGACAGCTGTGACCTTCAGCAGACAATTGGTATTTAGATTATGCGCAAGTCTAACGTAGCTAATCAGCTTAAGATTATTTAGCATTTTATTACAGTGTGTCAAATTTACATTATGCTTTAGAACACATAATGGATATTTTATTAATGACTACTTTTTTTACAGGTTGTTGCCTTTATATTGATAGGAGTTGCTGTATATGGCAGGGCATCTGCCTTAGTGACAAATCTCCCCATTATCGGTGGTATTTTGGCATGTGGAGTGATACTGTTTCTCATTTCTATTTTGGGTCTGATTGGTGCTGTTAAACACCATCAGGTTTTACTGTTCTTTGTATCCTTTTTTACTTATTATTTAAGGCCAGTTGACAAAATAGGAATCTATGTTTCTTATCTTTGCTATTGTGTTAATATTACAAATATTTAAATCTAATATTAATGTTAAAATGTACATTTTATTTATTTTTATGCCTTAGAATCTTATGTCATATCATTTGGTAGGCCTAGAACTTTATTGTAATACATCTAACCTCACAAATGTTATGATATAACATTATAAAGCTTTTTTTTTATTGTTTTGCTTTAGATCTTATATCGTATCATTTGATAGGCCTAGAACTTTATTATAATACATTAAAATCTTATATTTTAGAATTCTAGACTATTTTTTTGTTTAAAATATAAGATTCACTGTATCGCAGTAAAGAAAATGTACATTCTAAAGTTCTAACCTCACAAATGTTATGATGTAATATTATAAGGCTTTTTTTTATTTGTTTGCTTTAGATCTTATATCGTATCATTTGGTAGGCTTAGAAGATTACTATGATGCATTTAAATCTTATATTTTAGAATTCTAAACCATTTCTTTATTTAAAATTAAGATTTGAATGCATTGTAGTAAAGTCCTAAGCTTACCAAATATGATATAAGATTCTAAAGCATAAAAATGAATGAAATGTACATTTTATATATTTTTATGTGTAATGCGTGTAACACGCACAATATTATGTTTTAGTTTTATTAAATAACATGATAAATACTATTAAAATAAATGTAAGTATCTTTCCTTAATTATATTTTACAGTACATGCTTATCTTATTCCTTTTGTTCCTGATTCAATTCAGCATTGCATGTGCTTGTCTCGCTGTGAATACTAAACAGCAAGAACAACTTGCAGAAGAGGTAATTTTAATCTCTAAAAGATATTGGAATTATATATATTATTTGAAATTGATAAAATATAATAATTACTTTTTAGGGTTGGACACGTGTTGAACTTGATCTAAAAACAAAAGTTGAAAATACTTTCAACTGTTGCGGATTTAACAATACGAATGATGCAAATTTAGCTTGCAAGGATCCCACTGTAAGAACCTCGAGATAAAAGTCATATTTATTCAAATCTAACTGTTGCAATCTTTTTACAGAAGGTTTGCTGTCCAACAACTGATGTCAACCTAATGTCTAATTGTCCACCTTGTCCGACATGTATGCACAAACTGCAATCCACCATTGATTATGCATTCAAATTGTGTGGCAGCATAGGATTATTCTTTAGTTTTACAGAGGTAAGATGTTTCACAAGTAATATCATCATTCCTTACATATACACGTATATTGCACAATTGTACAGCATATGATTGTAGAATACAATTTATTTAACACTTAAAACACTTGTTTATAACTATACTTGCACTATATTTCACACTAGTCACTGATTACAATGAAAGTGCTCTCATTTTGCTAACATGTGTGCCCGATTACAGTTTGTTGGTGTATGGTTGACCGTGCGGTACAGGAACCAGAAAGATCCACGAGCTAATCCTAGTGCTTTCCTCTAGTCTAACACCATCGCCATGTCCTCTGTCACTTCATATGATCCTCCTAACAGATGGTGGGTGGTTTCATAACGTCGGGTTGCGCTCTTTTGATTTTTTTTCGGCGTTGTAGCTTTATCGATTCAGATGTTCATATGCTAATTTTCATTCATAATGTTCTAAAAAAGAATCTAAATTATTGTCTAGTATATAACATACAGCAGTTTACGCGATAGAGATCTCGATTACTTTTGTATTATATTTTTCCGATTTTTTTCTTTATTTGTTCTGGACTTTATGAACATTAAACATCATAAATGTTTAAACATTTTCAGGTGATTGCAGCTTTCTTGGCAAGATATTACCGAAATCAATTAGATCCACAGGAAAAAGCTGCAAGAGCCATTTTTCCGCGACATAATTATTTATATTGATTCGGCAGCACACACATACATGCATTTGAAAAAAAAAATGAACAGTTATTTCACGATAATTTTCTTTAGTATGAAGAAAACAAAATATAAAGTTTATTTTTGATTGCTCATATATGTTATGCAACATAAGGGCTAAATATTTCAATATTTCGTTTTAATATACTGTGACGGTTATGCATGCGCGATGCTCAACGAAAACAGGAGATTACATTTTTCAACTGGGCAATCATAGGTTTTAGAGTGAGTTAGATTAATAATAATTGAAATGTGTGCTCTAGTCATACACTTAGAACACTCATAACAAGCCTCAATGCGCCTTGTAGTCTAGAGACGGAAAACATCACGTGTTTACGTAAGTATTTTTTGATTAAATTTTATTGCATTTATTCCAAAAATTTGATAATTGAACTAAGTGATGAAAATCTATCATATTATTATAATTATATTGTGTAATTTAATGATTTAATCATAATATTTACAACCATTTTAAAATATACAGAACGATGTAAGCATGGAACAAAGGAAAATACGCAATTTTTTTTAAATATTTTTTTATGGAAGAGTATAATCTATCATGATAACAGTGTAGATGATAGCATCCACGATCGTATCATAATCATATTTTTCTTGCATAAATAACATATATATATATATATATAAATAACTATTCAATGATATAATATCTGGAAATTTATATCTTCCCAAATAAGATAAATTCTGTCATATCGTTTTTGAGTACATTTAGATAACTTTATAATACTTTTATGTCTGAAGAGAGAAATTACTTTTTATATTTCAAATTTTCTCTCGTATATCTTTTGTTTTATGAAAAATTTTAATCAAAAGAATCGGGAAAGGTTATAATAATTCTACAAAATTTGTAGTTAATTTAGATAAAACTTGGCTTTACAAATCTATGGTTATCTTTATTTTCACTTTTTCTTTAATTTGACACTTGCTTCTAATTCATACATATAGCATACAAAAATATGAAATTACTTAAAATGATATATTATCGAATTATCCTAGTGCCATCACTGATAATATCAAATTTGTCGTATTTCAAGTTTCACCAAAAAATAATCAATATACGAGTGCTTTGCTTGTGATTAAATTCTGCGCTGATTGTGCACTATGTAATAAAACTTACGCATAAGTGAATGCAAGATGTCTTAAAGAGCCTGGTGGGAAGTTATTGATGAACTTTATAATAGTCTCCCTTTCTCGCATAATATAGAATTTTAATGGATCCTGCAGACTTTTAACCTTTCGCGGTCGTAATAGGGGATGCTTAAATTCTTTCATTGATTATAATTCTATTGACGACCGCATTAATTTAATAATAATGGAAATAAAACATTATTCAACGAAAGATAATATTTATGAAAAGAAGATGTCTTATAAAATAATATCCTTCCAGGTTTTCTCTTGGACAACTTGCATAACGAAACCGTAAAAATACAAGTCTTTATGAGGAACGTAAATTTAATGTGCATGGAAATACTGTACGTTCACATCGTGTCCGTTTTAGTCATTGGGAAATATATCATATTTTCTATCCAATATCCTGTCACGCGAAACGTAGGTGGGACGAATCTCGCTGTATGGTAGTTTTGTTTTTGGGTTTTGCTATTTTTCAGAGGCTATTGAAAAATACCAATCATTGTGTTCACTGTTCAATAGTGAATCGAACTTGTATCTTTTTTGTTGTTGGGTTGAATTCAAATTTTAAGGATATAATTAAACGTATAAAGGGAATTCATGAACATTCAAACGGTATACACGGAATTCGTTATTGAACAGTCAAATCATGTTGTAACATATTTGTTTTGATGAATTGTTTAATATTGTTTAATAATGTTTTAATGAATATGTAATTTTATGTAAATTTTTGGCAGTTATATTTGATGAATTGTAGAAAGTAACTTGTGGGTATATCTTCCGAGCGTAAGAATAAAATATCGTGAACATTCCAATTTTTACGCCCCCCCCCCTGCCTGGCTTTGGTAGAAACGTGCATATTTTATATGCACGGAGTAGGGCTCGTACACGCGCGAGATATATACGGTAGTGTAATTCCTATATACATATTTTTACTTAATACGTATCAATATATTCGTAATTAGATTTAAACAACTAACATATATATTAAGAATGGAGGGATTCGACGAATCTAGAGCGCATTTAAGAATAATTTGCGCTTCTATGAAAAACGATCAATTAGCTGCGCGCAATTATATTATCTATATGTAATGCATGTGCGAAGGATCTTTTGGAATCAAAATCTAATGTGTATGGGAGGATTTTAATATTGACAATCCTAGGGTCATGTATGTATTTGTTGAAATGGAAATCCTATTGCAATTATACTCAATTTACCTCCTTATATCACATGTCTTAATTCTGTGTGTATCCTTTAGAGATGCGAGGGAATTCGATATATCGTGTTCTATTTTGTTAGAGTTCGAAATAAAAACATCGAATATTTATGTATTTCAAATACAGACGAATAGTTTTAAATATGTTAAATGCGAAATTAAAAAAAAATAGCTACTTGTAATAAAATTAAAAAAACATGTTACTGCACGACGCTGATAAAATATCAAATAGGTTAAACAATTGAGCAATTGAGTCAATTGTTAGAACTCCATATAATAATTGTGATAAATAAATAAAGGATCAGTCTCAAATGTATCTTTTTCAGCGTTGCAAGAAAATATTTCTTAACACATTTTGACACCATAAAATGAAATTTTAGTGCAATATAATTAATATTTTAATTCTTTGCGTAAGAGCTCGATAAAGATAATTTATATTTATTATTCGTAATAATTACAATTTTTTAAACCGGTTTATTATTATGTTAACGCCGGTTGACGACCATCGATCTTGCGACCACCATCCATCGATTTGTACTATCGATTCTTGCATCCCCTCTAAAAACATAAAAATGGCTACAGCGGCGTGCTAGAGTTACAACGCTTCCAGAGCATAGTGTCTACAGTGTTGACAAACAAACATTGTAAAACGGCTTCGTTGAGTACGGCTAATCATCCTGGATATCTCGCATGTCGACGATATTTTAGAGAAACGAATCAACGACAGCGTCGACGACGGATTCGATGAGGGAAGGTTCGGCTCCGGCCGAAGAGCAACGTCTACGAGCTCACGGTGGCGGCGGCGAGCGCGCGAACGTTGAGGTTATGGATAATTTCGTGAAGATAGAGAAGATAGGGGAGGGAACGTACGGGGTGGTCTACAAGGCCATGGACAAACTGACCGGAAAGGTGGTGGCACTCAAGAAAATTCGCTTGGAAACGTACGTGACTCTATAAATCTCTCTTGTGTCCAAACGCTTTCTTGACTTTAGGACATATCACTGTGTCTGTAAACATGTTAGCGTGAATCCCTTAATTTTAATCACAAATGGAAATCATTATTTACGACAGTTCCTCTAAGGAGGCATTTTAGCTAGGTGTGTCCTCGGAATTTTTTAATAGTCATCTTGATAAATGTTGGATGCTGTTTGTTCAACCATCATTGTTTCAAAAAATTTGCTGTATTATATCTGTCAATTTTCTTATCACTGATTGTCAAACATATATTAAGAGATAACTAGAGGAATATTACAGAAAGTATTTTCTTCTTTTTTTATACTTTTAATCACAATAAATATAACAGTATTACTAACTTTTAATTTAACTTGCTTTTTAAAGAAAAATACATATCTGTTATAATATTCTTTTATCTATATAATTCACTTATAACTTAATGATGAGATCATTAAGCTTTTATTAATTAGCGTGCAGTGTAATTTCTCAAAATATTTTACCATTTATATCTGTTCTCTTTGATGCTTGATACAATAACATTTTCATAAAGTATTCTACATTCTTCACTTAAAAATAATATGTATATAATAACACTCTAATTGTGAAAATTGTCTAAAGAATATTTGAGAAAGTTTAAATTGTATAAAAAATTATATTTGCCAATTTTTTAAAATTTGTAATTTTTTATAATGTCAGTTTTTCTCAAAATAGGCAAAACCATAAGAACAATATAATAGTGTAATTTTAGAATTTTAACAGTCCACAAAATTATTAGTCACTAATCTGGATAATATCTGATTAATATAAGTGTTAATTGTACTGATTGTACAAACTTAATTTCGGCTATATATGTTGAAAATTATCAGTTTGCAGAACTGCAATATCAGCTGGGCTTTTGCTTGTGCACACTGCTAACACACTGCTAACAACTTGCATATTGGGGTCAGCTGAATCTGTGGGGGCCACGTTACACTAATTTTCGTAGCACCACATTATTCAGCTTGTCCCATTATGCCATGCTCGCCTGGTTTTTGATTTGGTATTTTTTATTTAATACACTATAATTATTAATTTAAAATAAGACAAGTCTCATTAGGATTGTTTTAAAATAAGAACTTGTACATACATGTCTCTTTCAATCATAGTATTTTTACTCAGGATAACATTTTTTCTTGGGTATACAGAAATTATCAATGTTATTTTTATTTTTCTCACCGATGCAATTTTAATGTTATGTTGTTTTATATGTTTGTAGGAAACTTGTAAGTGAATAATTTATGTTAGAAATGTTAAAGAAAGAAATTTTCCTTTAAAAAATTAAGATATCTTTCAGCATATTAATCAATGACAATTTTTGTTTAATTAAATAGTGTTGCTTTGAATTAGGGAAAGGGAAGGCGTGCCATCTACTGCCATTCGAGAGATATCATTATTGAAAGACCTCGCTCATCCAAACATCATACAATTGTTCGATGTCGTAGACGCTGACAAACATCTATTTCTTGTCTTCGAATTTCTGCAACAGGACCTGAAGAAGCTACTAGATTCCGTTAAGGGAGGTTTGGATCCACCCCTTGTCAAGGTATAAAGATCTCTACATTTTGCATGGCGTGATTAATACGTTCGTCTTAAAAATGAAACGATTTTTGTTGTTACAGAGTTATCTCTACCAATTGCTGAAAGCGATTTCCTTTTGCCATCTTCGTTGTATATTGCACAGAGACTTAAAGCCACAGAATCTGTTAATAGATCGGGAAGGTCACATAAAACTTGCGGATTTTGGATTGGCCAGAATGATTGGTGTTCCCGTGCGCACGTACACACACGAAGTTGTCACGCTCTGGTACCGCGCGCCAGAAGTCCTTCTAGGAACCAAATTGTACACCTGTGCACTAGACATATGGAGTCTCGGTTGCATATTCGCAGAAATGGTACGTGAATATTATGCAAAAGTTTGGTGAGTCTACTATAATTGCAGTTATTAGAGACGATATTTTTTTACAGGCCACTAGAAGAGCTCTGTTCCCCGGAGACTCCGAGATAGATCAGTTGTTTAAGATATTCCGCATGCTCGGCACACCGGATGAAACGGTATGGCCAGGAGTCTCACAACTTACGGACTACACATCCAGATTTCCAAACTGGGAGGCGATTAATTTAAGCGATGTTTTACCCTCTTTTGATGATGATGCCAAAGATTTACTTTCAGTAAGATTTGTTCTCGGGAAAAACTAGCTGCTTTGCAATAGCGCGTTAGTATTTGCATACATATATTTTTTTATGATTTCAGAAACTTTTGACGTACGACCCTAATCAGAGGATAACTGCAAAGAAAGCATTGGGCCATTCCTATTTTAGGGGAGTCAAATTAATTCCACCTCCACTGCCAAAGAAAAATTAACATAAGTTTATGATTCATTGACCATATTTTAACTCGATATAAAACTCGATTTAACGCACAAAATTTCGAATTCTAACTTTATACCGCGCGAGAGAGTGTGTTCATTTATAACGTAATCTATATATAAATATATATCTATATATTTTTACTTCTATAAGTCTTTGTCGTATAAGTTTATGATTTTTTGCAGGTTTTACTTCAATTTCCTGTCTATTTCAGAATGCAATGTGGATAAATTGAATTATATTTTTCAAATATTTTTCTATATTTTATTTATTTTCAGGAATTGTGCTCTTTGTCAAGTAATACGATATAAGCCATTAATTTATAATCAAGTTGTTATAAATGCCTTATAAAAATCTATAGTGTTCAAATTGAAAAATAACAATAACATTTCTTATATAGAGATTTAACAAAATTGAGAAAAGAATATTAGAATCATTCGTAACATAGAACATATAACATTTTCAATGGACGGTATTTTGATTTCCGACACCCGTTAGAGGTCAATCTTCCACACAAAGGAAGACGGGGTTGGTAATTACACGGATTAGCTGGAAAATAGGACTTGCGAGAATCAAGCCCGTATTCCGTATCGCCTCGAATTTTTAGCTTACTGTCGAATCTATTTTTTATACTCGATTAAGATTATTCTTATAATAGAAAAGTATTTACTTGAGGTTATATTCATTAATAAAATGAAGATATTTACTCTACTAAATGTGATTTGTTACGAATTTTCTACCATCATTTTTTCTAAGTCACTAATTCTTTCGCACTTTTATGACATATAGATGTTCCAGATCTCATTTCCTTTTATAATACGAATCTTGAATTAATCTGAAGTAAATTTTTCCTTAATAAAATTATCAAATTTTGATATCGATAAAGGATTAAAAATTATAGATACGTTTTTTCAGATTTGCAAACAGATAATCTTATCCTTATTTAGTTTCAAGTAGACTGATTTGACATTTTAAACGTTCTTCAATGTTGATTACCGTGTAAAAAATTTTAAACACGTTTTAAAGTTAGTCGTAAGAAATTGTAACAAAAGTATACAATTTTTGTTAAGAAAAGATTAACTTCAAATTAGTTAACAAAACCACAAAAGAAAGAATGAACTATTCGAAGCGTGCTATACTAAAAAACTCGTTGCGTTTTTGATTTGACAGTTCTAATATGCCATTCGGGTGGCTTGTGAAGATGGCTCGATTAGTTTCGGTAAAGAGATTTTCACGTGAGTTTCAGGAGTCGCCGGACTTGTTTCTTGAGGTATCGGTGAAGGCGCGAGTTTCGGAAGACGCAACTCTTTCGGAGACGGAGTTTTCCTCGGTGTTCCGGGCGATGTTTTGCTAGGTGTAAGGGGGGATGTTCTAGGAGTGCTCGGGGTAGACTTGTCGCCGGCGGATTTGACGCGCAGGCTGCTGGGTGGACGGGGAGAAATCGGTGACCTCGGTGAGCGATCCTTTGACGTATTTCTATCGTTTATCGCGTCCGGTGAGGGTGTCTTGGACGTGCGTCCGTTCACGAGGGTTGAACCTTCCGTCTCTAGCGCGTGTTGCCTTCTGGGCGTCGTGGCTTCCGGAGATTTGGCCAGTCCACTTCTCACGGCTCGGGGCGTCACAATAGACGAGGGTGGTGTGACACTACGCGTTTTGGTCGGCGTGGTGGGTGGCGGTTGTGGCTCGGGTATATCGTTGTCGTTGGTCTTTGAATTTTCCTCGGGTGTTCGAGCCTGAAATTGCGGCGACAATTTACTTTTAGATGCTAACTCTTCCGGTATAGAAGGTTCAGCTGTATATACGTCTTCTGAAAAACGATCATTAAAACCGGAGGCGTATACACACGAAATTGTTTCGAGTAAAAGCTTATGAGTCTTCTAACCTATAAATTTGACAGGCCGGCCGGTTTCTTGTGCTGCCATATCGAAAAGGTTAATTTTATTTTTTTAATTAATCAATGATGTCTCGCACGAATCAATTATCCGAGATAAATCATTCTCAGTTTATCACAAATATTAGAATAATAGCTTTAAAATGCATTTTTTCCAATCTTTTTATCTGCAAAGATTGATATTGACAGCTGTATTGAACCACGATCATCTGTTCATTCCGAATGATCCCGATACAGAGCGGAACCGTCCGACAAGCGAGCATAAATTTTACTCGATTTCCTGGAAGTCTTACTACTGTCCACTACTGATCAGCTGATCAGCTGAGTCGTAGTACCGTAAGAGTTACGTAACAGCCACGCGACATATACGTACGCAAATGCATACGTCGTGCACATACGTTGATTTTCAAAACGCTATAACTCGGTGAAAAATTAACATAGTGACATCCGGCAAAATGGAATCTTCTTGTCTTTCCGTTCCGCAGATGATTATATTAAATGCATATGTTCTTATTATGACACGCATATATGGATATTTATGTAAAACAGTAGATTAAAAGTATTCAGATGCCTTATTTGATAATTACAGAATTCCTATTTATTCGTGAATAATATTTATTCAAATTTAGCTTGTGGCGGTTAAAAATTATACAGTTCATTAAAAATATAATACGTTTATATATAGCAAGTCATTTTATAGCAAAGCGCGGAATTATAAATGGATTAAATTTAATTACGAATTTGAAAGCAATGTTATAATTTTCTTGATTTTAATATTCGCCTTTCGCTCACATTTCAGAAGATGCGATCATTTTATCTCGAATAACCATCCGGCAAACTACATGTTGTTTATTTTTATTCACAGGGTGACTCGATGCAGCACCATATGGGTGCTAAGCAAGTTGTAAAATAAAAGAGAAGAATAGCACGTGCGGAAATAATTATAAAGATACAAGATAAGGGAGGAAAAGGGAAAAATGAAAGAAGGATACTTGTAACAGCATGGAACCAATTGTAAGAAAAAAGCAATTAAAGTATAATAATATTACATATCATTATTAACTCTTTAGGTGCGGAAGGCGTATGCATTTCTAGAGAAAGATTAATCATCTAATTATCGCAACAGGATCTATAGTTATCTACAGTTATCGTTTTAACAATTATTAATTTGGCATGCCAGTCAGTAGCAATTTTGTCACATCTCGTTGTGCCGCTGTACCGAAAGAATTAAGGCTGAAATATAATAAATAACGTACTTGAATGCATTTAGTAGTATTTGATATTCATTGATATTCGACACTAAATGCATTCTTTTTTTTATGAAAAAATTAGCATGTGTAGACTAACCTTGATTGCGGTGTATGGTGGCGATGCTTTGCAGACCTTGGTGAATTGTACGTGAGGGTGAGGCACACGCTGTGCGTATTATTATCCTTTTAAAGTGGCAAATTTTCTAAATACATGATGTCTAGTCGAAATCAGTAAAGGAAGGATTGAGGAGCTATTCGTGTTTGTTGGTACCGTTCGTGCCAAACTGCAGCAGGGATTAGTTTTAGGACCACGTCTACGTTGATGTTAAGTCTGTGTGTGAGCGATGTAGATCTTGCACGAAGTCATTAGATTTAAAAGAACTGACAGGTCTTCATTCTCTGCAAAGTTTCTAACCTTCGAAACCGAGCAGCAATTAAATCTGAATTCATTATAATTCATCGCAAATGTGTCACACGAAAAGAAATTTATTTTAATAAATCTCATTAAAAGATTTTGCTCATTCTTTGAGAATTAAATTTAATTGCCTCATTAGCAAAGCATTAAATTTTATAAATGAAGAACACTTCTGTCAGTTTCTTTTAATTCGTATATTTTTTGCCATTCTTATTACGATTTTGCCACTTGGGTAAAATTAATTAAAAAAAAAATTTTATGAATCAAAAAAAGAAGGGTGACCAAAAAATCTTGCTCCTGGATGTTACCCATCGCGTGACAGGGCGATTATACATGCTTTTGATGGATATTTCAAGTTTTAGTAAATGACATTATGTCATGAAGAGCTAAGTAATTACGTCCGACATATATTTTTATGAAAATAAAAGGGTACGTAGCTATTTCTCTCTTACCGAGAAATTTGGGGAAGGAGGTGTTCGGGTATTGAGTGAGAGACAAAGAACGAATGTAAATTTAAAAACAAAAATATTATTATAATGCCTCTCCAGCGACCCTAATCCAAGATGCGCTGGATAGTCGTTACACTATTGCGTTCGTATGAAGTGGTAACTTGTGACAATTACGAGGGTCTAACGTTAATTACCATTTTGTCTCCGTGAAGTATCGCAATATGTTAATTGGATCGAAGTATCTCTTAATAATCCATATGGAAGCAATACAGTGTAAATAATGTGTTATACATATCTCTCTTTCTAGCGACGTGTAAATTGCACGAGGTACCTAAGGTAGTAGTGTGACGTAAGTGAGAGATTTTTTTTTTTTAGCATTTTTGGCGTGGTCGCACGACTCGGACACTTTCTCCATCACCGATCTCTCGTCTTTCCGATCTTCGTCGACAAACTCTCATCACTCTGTCGCACTAGCGATACGTTACACACTCGCGGTGGTGCGACGAGATGGCATACGTACCGATCACGGTACGCTGCAATAATGTTTGAATAATTCGTACACCCATCCTGTCATCTAATCGCAATCTATAATCAGCCCGATGTATCCGACGTCGGGTGTCGCGCGTGCTGATCACGTCGCGATTCACCCGCGTGTTACACGGCTCTTCTGGCACTTTTCCTTTCGCCCAAAACCCTAATTCGCGCCCGGCCTCGTTGCACCGATACAATCCTCGCTAACCAGTAACTCCGCGTAAAGCTCCGAGACTTCAACAGCTTCCCCCTTCCCATTGCAATCGCGGCTACAACGATAAATGCAGCGACAAAAAAAAAAACTACCGGGTTATCCACGATTAAACGATATCTGTGCAACTGGTTCCCCAAATATCTGACGATCCGTCGATCGAGATTGTTGTCGCTGATCAGTCTCTCGCCTTTTCAGAAATCATCAGACCGACCACGTCGAACGAAAATACCTATGTGAACGGTAACTACGCGCCGTCGTTCGCGGCTCATTTTATCCGACGTTGCCCGAAATGACGCTCGAAGTGACGGTGAAGTTGCTTGCGACGTACGCGCGGAGTACGCCGAGGACTGTCAGCTGTTGAGATTGCCTCACGCGAAAAGTAATGTATGTATACGCGCGCTTCGTTTGTCTAACGTCTATTCGTCTTCCCCTGAGAGGACTAGAGATGGTTCTTTCCGCATACAACGACGCACGGGTATCTTCCTGCAAATTCTTTTTACGTACAAATGTGTTTTGGAAAGAGATGAAAAATTACAGCAACGTCGTAAATTAAATAATGAAAGTGACAATATTACGCTGACGTTTTCTGCAGTGCCGCGAAACGAATAACAAAGATGGACGAAGTTACACTCGCATTTTCTGCAAAATCAGGTATGACGAGTAATTTGAATTCATTTAATATTAGTTTACTTTGTGTCTTATGTCTTACGTTTGTTATCTTTACGCGCGTTGTCCATTTAACTTCTTAAGCGATTATACATCATGCATTGCGATTGATTAAACGTATCATTGCACATGGCCGCGCACTGCTATACGCGATGCAGCTTGTGATAATGTTATGGCACAATGCGTATCAAAAATCGATAACTTGCAAATATTAACATTTACATAGCGTGAGCGCGTGAAGGATGTCGACACAATGATTTGAAAGATCGCAAAGGGGAGCTGCAACAGGAATGTAACCACCGATAGAAAAGTTATCGCTTAAAAAGGCAAAGGATTTTCTGACGCGTAAGGAGATCGTTTCTCAAATCTCCTTATTTTTCTTTTTATATATATATAAAATGAAATATTTTTCTCAGTCCTTTTTGTTTCTTTTACGTGCTTTGTGATTTACGTATTTACGTGATAGAGGCTGCTTTTACGTGCAGCATAAAGATTTCTAACATAAGGACAACTAAAAGTTCTTTTAAATGCAGGATGTGGAAATACTCAGAGTTCGCGTCCAAACAGCAAATTGGTGCAATAATTCATTCGTTAATTGAGTTCGTCCGTCGTGCAATTTTTGCATAGACGAGATATCGATTGTAATGTTCTTTTTTTTTTTCTGTTTCAAGGAGTTCCGTGCGCCGTCCGCCTCAATATTGCTCTCAATCGCGCGCGCGCGCTCGTGAACCGCGCTCGTTCGTCCTCTAAAGGGGGATGGATAGGTAAACGTGATTAATCATATGCAAATGATATAGTTAAAGCGAGTCTATCGGCCGACTTTTCATGACCTAGCATTCCTGGTTCAGGTTCTCGTCCGAGGCTGGCAGGCCGTTCTTGCCGGAGTCGGTGATCGCGCCAGAGGGCACGGGGCTCTGCGGGCACAAGACAAATGTCCCTCTTTTAATGCGCGCGTTAATTTCTTCAAGGGTTGTATGACAAGCAAATATCTTACTGATACAATTATTAATATTAAGAAATTCTCCTATAAAACAAGTTTTCTTATTTTATCTTATAAGATTTATCCTGATCAGTACGCATAATAGTAGACTAATTGCTTGGACATTAATTAATTAAATTTAATCATAATTTATTCATTTCAGATCCTTCCTTTTGTCTCTTTAAAAACAAAATCTCAAAAGACGTACGAAAAAAAAGTTATATTACAGTTAAATTTAATCTACAGGACAAGAAACTGACTCCTATATAATCTGCCTATAATCTAATTAATATAAAGATCATAAAACGCGTAATCACGATAGACGCATTTTTGCGAAGGTAACAACCAGCAGAGATAGTTCAAGTTGACAAGAAAATGACTCGAAAAGTAGGAGAGAAGCATAAAAAAGCGTCACACGCATTTCGCATTCAAACGGATTTTTGAGCAGAAAAAATTATATCTAAAGCTAGCACTTTCACTACAAAAAATTGAAATAAAACCTATATCTAAATTTAGTCTCAAAGTTCTGCTAAACGGTTGGAGTGCTAAAATAGAGTACTAAACTAATATCTGAATAGTACTTAATTTTAATATAAGTTCTATTTCAAATTTTTACGGCTAAAGGTACTTGCTTCACAGATATAAAAAAATCAGCATAATTAGTAAACGATTTATTTCTCAATATCGTTTTTATGTTTCATTAAAATTTTAGAAATTATTCTTTTTTAATTCCGAAATATCGCAAAACGTTTGACAAATAATTCCTACAATTCGTCGGCCAACGATTTCGAATAATTTTGCAAAATAAATTTTGGCATTTAATCAAGATAAACAAATTACTAATATATAAACATGATGTTTCAAGTGCTGTTTAATTTACATATTTATTTTTAGCGTATTATCAAATGTGCAGGCCAATATCTGAATGGTGCTCTATATGGCATTGCAAAGACGCATGCGACGCGTGTTTAAGCACGTAGGTGCACATGTTAAATGCAAAAAATCTCGAGAAATTTATCGGATTTGAATCTTTCATCTTTGCGATGTGTTCATCTGCAAAGATCGCGAAAAAAGAACACGTCAAAATTGAATTCTGCTGTGCAAAATCGGGAAGTGACGAAGTTCCGTAACAGATATTCTCAAGATTTTTAGTTTGCGAACATACCTGAGACCCACTGCCGTTCACGCTTTCAACGTTTGAACTAGTCTGCCGAAGATAGTCTCTGTCGTTGAAAATCTTTTTGTCACCACCGCCCGGCTTATGCTTTACGTTATCCAACGAGCCAATCTTGCTTTCGGCCTTGATGTCTACCTTTTGCATCGGGATCTGAAAGGACAAATAGCAAACTATATTACTCACCTATTGATAAAATCTTATGTAACAGGCGACTAGAGGAAAATGAAAGTAATGAGCTGAAAAGAGAAATTTTTCTCTTTTCCTTTTATACATATATACTGTTTATGAAAAAAATGTGACGCATCTCAAGGTAAGCCTTCCCATCTAAACTTTGCATATAAAAATAAATAAATAAGTAGATAGAGATACAATAACATTATTACAGTGCATGAGAATCATTTATTTAATAAAATGTCAAATGTCACAGATTAATATTTTTAAAGATAAATGGATTGAAAATTATTTATCGGGATGCGACAATTTTTTTGATGAACAGTGTAATCAGATAAGCAATGATATAATATATTCATTGTTTATCATATTATTCGCTCGTCATTATTTAACAGTTTAAGAGATACTAAACAGAAAATAGTTGTCACGTGGACCTAGAATGAAATTGGAAACATGCGGAAACATGCTTAAATTTCGCATTTAACGTACGTTTTACTTACGTCTATATCCGGCGATATAGATAGAACTTTACCGATTGCAAAGTGGTGATAAGCGCATTTTCGTATCTCGCAAATCGTGGAAGTAGACTGGTCGATTAATCATGCCGATTATAAATAGCGATTTACGGAGCGAGTTATCGATGTACGCGATATATGCAACCGCAATGTAACGTGTAAATATCTTTTGCGCATTTACTTTCACGACGGAATACGATAAATTAATTTCGGCGTGTCATGATATCACGACCAGACGACCGAAGGCCGAACCAGACAAGTAAAGAGTAAGATGAAAAAGAAAGAACAAGAGAAAGCGAGAGACACATGGTATATTGAGTTCGCACGCTATTTCGTTAGCTGCATGACGTACTTACGTCGTTCTTCGTTTCCTGCGGTGTCTTAGGTGGAGTTGCGGACTGAACACCAAGAAATAACAATGACTTGTTAATAATGACAAGAGACGACACATGCGTACGAATTAGCTGCACAAATGGACTTTGTGCCTTCCAATGGCAACGTTTTTCGATTCGGATTTTAACAAAAATTAACGCTGATGCACATACTTAACTAGTATTAGTAAAACATATATTTTCCTGTGTCTTGAAATTGAGACAATTATAGAATTAATAATTCCAAGCCGCACGACTTTGTGGAATTAACATTGTTTAACTTGAAATTATTAATTTTGCTGAAAAATCATCAAGGTTTGTGTGAATACTGTTTTCTTTTGATAAATTATCATTTTTCGAAATTTAATAACTTTACATGTATTGTATTGTATATTTATTTCATTCCGCATGCAACTTATTCACGAAATTTGGAATACGAATTACGGAATAATTTTGGATGTTTTTGTGACGAGAATAAAGCGAGCATTGCGTAGATTCTATTTTGATTAAGCTTCTGCTACTGAATCAGCCATCTGCATGTTATGGACAATATTTACGTGAAGGCAAAAATTGATATGCAATAACTTTCTACTGCAGTAAACATATAAGTATGTTGCTTGTTCGTACAATTATCAAAGATTAATAATAAAATATGATATAATAAATACTGACAATAATGTAATTGTGAATGCATACATGTAATCACATGCATTAGATAGTTAACGATTATTTTCTGGGTTAATTTTTTGAACGTGATGCAAAAAACATGCTAGTACAATTAATTAATTAATTAATTAAAATTAATTAATTAAAGCATTATTAAAATTGGAAATATTTTACATGATACTTTTAACTACAGATTTCAAAATTAAGAATTTCATTAAATAGTTTGTTTTTACATACAAAAAATAAGAAAATTGATTACTATTAATTAGAAACGTTGGTTGTACAACTAGTTATATAACCGGTTTTAAACTACAAAAGTTGCAACATATAAAATCTCGAAACAGGTCTTACCTTAATGGCGCCGCCACCGGGAACGTGTTTCGCGTTATCCTTAGATCCGACTTTTGGCTTCGCCTTGTCCTTAAAGTCGAGTTTTACCGTCTCGATCTTCTTATCACCGCCGCCCGGCTTGTAAGTTGCGTTGTCCAACGAGCCCACTTTGGACTTAGCATTCCATTGAAGTTTCACTTGGGCGATCTAGGAGTGAAATTTTATAACAGTTCTAATACGTGGTGGTAACTTTTCACTTTGTCATTTTTTTTTACATCTAGCTAATATGTCGAAGAGAAAAGTAAAGATGCTCTAAGAATCGTGGAAGTACTATTAATGTTAATAGGGTGATTGATTTAATACCAGGGTCGAAAAGGATCAACCTTTTTGTCGCCACCGCTGGGCATGTATTTGTCGTTCTTGGCAGCAATTTTCGGTTGCGCTTTGCTTCCAAAGTCCAGCTTCCTGTTCTCTATCTTCACCTTGCCGCCGCCCGGCTTGTAACTCGCGTTGTCTAGAGAACCGATCTTTGACCGTACAACCTTCAAGTTCGGCGAAGGCGCAGCGCCGACTTGAACTTTGTTCATCGGCACCTCTGTACGATTAGAAGACACAAGATTGTTTAGACGGATGTTTCGTCTATGTAATGTGGCTTTTTAAATATTGCCCTTACTCTAATTTTTTCTATGGCACTCAGTCCAATTTCTCAGCAATGTAAAAAAGACGCATTTAAATTTATATAAAACTACATATTATTGGAAATATTAGAAAATATTCGTTTATTAGAATATATATATATATATAGAATACTAGAATATTGATCAAACATATTATTAATAACGGACATTAGATTTCGCTCGCAAAATAAAGATCAGTCTATTTTTAAATTAGATGACAGGAAATACTCACTCTTTTTTTCTTGGGCAGTCGACGAAGGTGTGTCGGGAGTTCGTGGTAGCGATTTAGCGGATTTGCTAGGCGATTTCGTAGGCGATCCAGCCGTCGACCTCTTGTCGCTATCTTTAGACTTTTTGGTTGGCGAATCCGCGACTCCATTTGTAGTCTGCTTTTAATTATTATTTTAATTCGTCGTAAAGGGATAACGTCGTAATACGTTGGTATTTGAGAAAAAAAAAACAGAGATGGATATAACGTAAGATATTTACCGCATTAGCTTGCGACTCGCTTGTACTACCATTTTGGACCCCTGTGGAAAAAAAGAAAAGAGTACATTAATATATCGTAATAATTTTTAACAATTAGTTAAAGCCATATATAAAATTCGCATTGCACCGAAGCAAAGTCTCAATAGTCTCGAACATACAGTTAAAGTAGTTTAGTTTTTTCTAAATTAATTTGTTTTAAATATGCCTTAATAATAGAATAATAGAAATATAGAAATTCTTTATTGCAAAATTTATTTTACAGTAAACATATAATATATCGGTTTTCCCGAAATTGAAAGTTGTGGAAATAGCGTTTTTGACTTTTTGGAAAGCAATCGGGCATCGACAAATCAAACTAATATTTATTCGTAGAGCAAACAAATTAAGGTTCCGTGAGTATTTCGTTTCGCGCGCGAAAGCGCAAAGACCTTTTTTCTCCGAAGATTTCCTTTCTCCTTTCCCGTCGTCCAGTTTCATCGGTGTTTGCGCGCGTGGTGTTTTAGCTGCGAGAGTCGTAGGCTTCGTCGGCGACGTCGCTGTCTTGTCCGCTATATCCATCGCTTTCTTCGCGTCTTCAACGAAGGACGTTCGCTTCTTTTCACCCTCCGCCGGTTTCGCGCTGACGGCGGGTCTCGGAGATTGAGGGCTGCTAGATGATAACGATCTCTGCTGTCCGTCATCGAAGCCCTTCACGTTCTCGTCGGGTGATCTCGGTGATTTCGGCGACTTGCTGTCTTTTATCGAGCTGGGCGAACCTAACGATGACGCTGGTCTACTGGGTTGCTTCATCTGCAGAGTGCTTTCCACGGAGTGTTTCATCGACTCCGCCTCGTCGCTGCTCGCAGCTGGCGTGCTGGAACGCGACCTGTCCGGCGTTTTCGACGGGGTCTTCAGCGTTTCTCTCTCCGCATTCGGCGACAGCGACAGTCCGCTGGCTGGCGTGCTCGCGCGCGATTTATCCGGAGTCTTCGATTCCGCGTTTCCGGGCGGCTCCAGTCCGGCCGGCGTGCCGGAACGCGACTTGTCTGACGTCTTTAATTCCTGTTCCGCGTCCAGACGGGACGGAGTGGCGGATCGCAAAGTATCCGAAGGCGCGTTCTTGTGATACGGACTTGTGCTAGACATCTTGATCACTTCGGCTGGTTCGGATATCGATATCGCGCTCGGCGGTCGAGACGCTTTGTCGACGAGCGACGAAGCTTTCGTTGCGAATTTTTCCTCCTTATCGTCATTTATCGCGGAGGAAGGTCTGCTTTGAGAAATGACAACTGGCGTTGAGACATGGGCAACTTCCATGGTGGAAATTGGTCTTGAGAGAACATCTTGCTTATCTTCCACTTTCTCTTCCTTATCTTTGATGGTGGCCGTGCCTGGTCGGCTCGCGGGTTTGCTCGTATCGTCGAGTCTCCTCGGCGTGAAGGGCGACTTGGAACCATTCACCAATCCCTCGGCAGCGTTATTGTGTCGCGGCGACTTTTCTCTATCCATCACGACATCGTCGTCGTCGTCGTTTTCTCCATTCTCACGTACATCAGATTTCTTCCTCTGCAGATAGCTCTCCGGTTTATCGATGCTGGTCTCATTTATATCCGCCATCTTCTCAATGACAATGCGTGGTCGCGTCGGCTGCTTGATTTCCTCGTTTGACAAAAGATGCTGCCGCTGCAGGGTCACTAGCGAGTCATTCCTCAGCAATTGTCTCGGTAAAACGGATTCTTGACTAGGTCGCCGCGGCTCGTTTTGAGGCGCGATGTCCGGCGGTCGTTGGAATCGCGGATCGTTGCTGATGCGTTGCTGCTGCTGTTGCTGTTGCTGCTGCTGCTGCTGCTGCGCTTGATAGACTTGTTGGTTGCCGACGAAGGGTGGTCGTTGGCCCGCTGCTACTGCTTGCGGCGGAGGACCTCGAATTCCCGGGGATAACGCGAAACGTGGATTCTGCGGCGGCAGCTGTTGACCGGGTTGCGGCGGCCTTGGAGGAAAAACGGCGCCTCCTGGTGGTCTTGGCGGGCCGTAGGGTCTGAGTTGCACGAACTGACCCGAGGCCGGTGGCGGACCGAGGGTGGAACGACTGTCCAATCGGCGTAGCGGCTGTCCCGGCCTGGGCGCGCCTACGGGACCATTATTTATCGAATTTCTCGGGGACGGAGGAGGACCCTGCGGTCGCACCTGAAAGCCTTGCTGTGGCAAAGGCGCGTTTGGCTTCACCTGCGGAAGAACAGCTCGTGTCGCGTATACTTGCGCGGGAAAGCGCGCTCGCGTCGGTGCTTTGTTATGAAAAGATAGTTTGACGCGGAGTTTTGGAAACAGCTTCAGGTAAGTGTGTATCATTGTGAGTTATATTTGTACTTTCTTCGTTTCTAAATCGTGCTACGCTCAAAGAGCGATGTCGAGTATTTAATATGCGGTAATACAATTCTAATGATAGGTTGAGTTGTATGCTTTTATCAGATATATCGTTTTCGCGGCGATTGCTTTCGTTTGAACGTAGGAATTGAGGTTGGTAGTACTTATAGTTTTGGCGAAATCAATTTTTAATATCGTAGATCCTGTCATCAGCAACTCACGCAAACAGTTTTTATTGTCACGGCGAATATTTTCGTGCCTCTAATACCGAAATTTTATCTCATCGAGATTATACCCGCTCCAATATCTGTTTAAGGATAACCGGAATGATTAAATTTGTAACTGTATATTCTACATTTCTATTAATTGTTAACGATTTTATCTTCCTTTTCAGACAGATTTATGAACGAGCTATAATACTTCTGATACGATATGATTAAATGTATTATATATCGCTTTTTCTGGCAGCAAAAGTGTTCTCTTTTATAATTTGATTCCTAATCTTGAACGATATTGGCACATGAGCAAACGAAACCGAAGGTTATTGGCGCAATGTGGCAAATTGCGATCGGCAGTATCAACCCTGACCTTAAACTCATCGATCTTTCACCGTTGTGCTGCGATTCAAATTGCGAGCCACATTGTCTACAGACATTATCTCAATTTTCCTTGTTGTCCTTAGCCGTTAAACTTCCGGCGCAGACCTACCGTCGATTTTCCATTTCGTTGTTCGTTTTGAATAACGCGTGTGAACGCTGCAACGCCACGGACATTGTCTGCTATCATCATCTCTTATTTTCGACTCAATTTAGTTAATTTGCAACACGGCATTTCATGCCGCGGGCTAATCCGCGACAACAACAACGTATTTCGTACGATGATAGCAATGTAAAAATCGCGAGAGAGCCGGAGAGGCTGACGGCAGTCGAAATTTCGTGATAGTGGCCCTGAGTTTATCGATCTTTTGATAATGCGGGTCGGTGACGTCCCGCCGTGCCGTTACCACCGTGCCTGCCACCGTTTTACTTTCGGCTCGTTATGGGATCGTGCCACGAATGACTAGCGTATCGCCGACTTCCATTCGCTACGAGCGATGCCACGGCGTTACGTTTGCTGGTAAAATCACTCGTTAGCGTCCTCGTTTCAGGAAAGTTATAGTTTTTAACCGTTGTAATTAAGTCCTTTATTGCAATCAGATACCATAAAAAAGTAGAGTGTACTAAAAACCTCGCGTTATCATAGCGATCGGATTCTTTGTTAATAATTATTGAACGTTCGGTGCGTCTAATCTCATTGTTGCTTGCTTACCATAGTTTCTCCATGGCCCGAAGCAGATTCGGCCATGCTGTTCGCGCTTCCCTGCGAGTCCATATCGATTTCTTTCGTGTACTCTTACGGGGTATACCACAAATCGCCTCGGACAATATGGGTTCTCCGTAAACCTGTTGCGTAAACATGTGACCAATAGCTCTTTATGAAGGTGCGCTGGCTGCGCACAAACTAAGCGACATCAACGCGCCGCTGTGTAGTGAATGAATGTCGCAGCGTGTCAAAGAACGTGACGACAAGAACTACCCTTATCGTGTCTTGCACTACTGAAGACACTTTATTACGATGATGTGAAACGGCGAGAAGAACGTCGAAAATACGTGCCAGAAGAATATATTTCCTACTAAAAGCGAGATGATGAAAAATATTTCATAACGTTATACTTTATTTCCAACACAAAGAAGTTATATTTATGAAAAAAATTTTGCTCTTAATCGAAAGAGAGAAATTTTAATTAATAAATTCTCAATAAATTGAATTGTATCTATTTATGAAAATTTGTGCATTATTTGCTGTTTAGCATAAAATTTTATTAATACGGAAAATTTAAAAGCAAAATGGAAATATTATTTATAATAAATTTATAAATCCATAATTGATATCATATTTATTGATGGAGAAACTACTGTAGAAATTGTCTATTATATGTTATGCTATGTAGATTTTATCAATATATTATGCAAAAGATTTTATCAATTCATAATTCGGAGAATTCTTCTAACTTATGTGAGACAATAATATTTACTCGTATGTATTCTCGTATTGGGATACCGAGAGAGCGGACATTTAAATGGTATGAATAATTCATAGCCAAAATACGATATGCTCGACAGTTGTATTGTCTACTTTGATATGATCCTACTATGCGTGCAACGACGGCAACTTTCAATTATAAATTACCACGCGCACTACGTGCCGCACAGATATTACGTGTCGACGATGACGAGATTACAGCAATCAAATCGACAGCAATTATGAACGGTGTTTTACAAGTGCGAATACTCTACTAGTGAGTATATAGATGTGTGCGCAATCAAATAGATTATTTAACTTAACAATATGGCAACGATATCTAAAAGACGGAAGGATAACGAGCGACGACGATATAGAAGCAGTAAATTTTTCCCAAACGGAAACTAAAACACGAAAAGTACTTCGTCTATTTCTATTTAATACGAAAACAGGTGTTCTTCCCATTTTTAATTAAAATGAAACAAAAATCTATTGAAATTAATTGTGGAATCTTTTAAAAAATTTACAAATCTAGAAGAAAGAAAATTTGTGAAATTAAATGAACTTTCCAAATCACAATATATTTCGTCCAAAAGTTCTACATCTTTGGAATCAACGGAAAATTATGGATTTCTCCAAACAAGCCTTCGAATATTAATTATAAAGATTTGCGTACCACCATAAACGCATTTGTTCTTACATAGCCGACTTTAAGAAGCAGCAGGGAAAAGTGACTGGAAAAATTGAATATAAACGGGAAGCGACACGCGAATGATCATAAGGAGCACGGAACAGCAGATCATATTGCTGTAGACTGCTTGCTATTAACCTTGGGACGAGTATCGTCGAAGAGTTCTCGCAATACAGAAAGTCCGTGTTTTGGAACGATAAACTGAAGGAGCAACGTTTCTTGAGCAAGGCTAACATTACGATTGCCAAACGATCGAAAGCACATCGATTTTGCTCGTTTTTTAGACTATGTAATTTACTCATCTCATTAATCATTGTGTATGACATCACTGTACAACATCAGCATTATAATTTGCAATCGGATTCGGCATTGAACTTTTTCTCGAAGCTGGTATTTCCGTTATCCTTACACATGACTGTGTGACACATTTCTTGTATAGAAAGTGCACTTTATAAATAATATAAACTACCGCAAATAATAGTTTATAATTAAACGTAGAAATATGTAATTTATTATTGTATACAACACAATAATAAATTTAAATAATACTTTTATATTAATATTAACTCTAATAATAATTTTCAATTAAGATAGAAATTCTCACAAGTTTAAACAAAATTGTAACGAGATGGAAGACAAGTTTAAGCAGATCAAATATCAATTAAAAAAAGCTGTCTGATATGAGTCACTAAATTGTAAACACAAATATACTTAACGAAAAATTGTTTTCCAGGGAATTGGCATAATTTGTTGATCGAGATAAAAGCTTTCGCGAAATGTGGCTATGATTTCACTTTCAATTTACGGCATGCGAGTTGGAGGGTGGTTCGAATTACTCGTGGTCGGTCACGTCAACGGCTGCGAGTAATTAAGTCGGTCGGAGACACGAAATAAGCATCATAGAGTAACATTTTGCACGCATAAAAAAGGTGGTGGTCTAACTCGCTAGGTGATATCATATTTAAATAAGTAAGTAAAAGGCAGAATTTTGTCATAAGCTACGTACGCGTAGAATTTTAATCACGCTTAACCTTGCGGTAACCTCCAGACATTTTAGCATTAGCTTTCCTTTAATATGCGTATTTATGCGACCTTTTTTTTTCACTCTTTACCAAAAAGTACGAAGGTGCTCAAAAGATACTCCGGTTCGCTATATATCTTTCAATATATTTTCACTCCTATCTTCGTTTATATTACTGTCTTGGAATAGATATCTATACGGTGGGAACTTCTCGCAAACTCTATCACAGCGAACACGTGGCCAAAGTAATATCGGATCGTTCGAAATAATTGCACCGACGAAAGCTATTCATTTCGTCGGGTTGTGCATCTTATTTTACGACCGACAATCTTGATTCTGTTCTAAAAATTCAGTCCGGGATGCATTATCAGAGAATGTTTAGTATTTTTGCGAGATACATTACATATTTTTATACAACCATATTTTTTGAAAAGATAAAAACGAAACAATATATTATAATAAGTTATAATAATTTTTTTCTTAATGTATTCACATATTTCTATTTTATTTAAAATATAATTCGTTAAGCTGATTAGCTGCGTTTAAGATTAAGCGCCTAAGAATCATCAAAATGTCGCTTAAATCTTTCTTACAAAGATGTCCACTTTTTGCTGTTCAAACAAAAATAAAACTTAACCTGTTTCTCGAAGCAGAAGCAAGCGTTCCTTTTTCTAGGTTTGCAGGTTTACGCGAAAGGCGTTACAGCAATACGTCTAGAAGAAGTTCTTAAGCATGTCGGCCACTTCCGTTTTCATTTCCGATCAGAAGACCAGAAAACAGGCTGCTCTGTACGTAGCAGCTTTGCCAACCGGCAAGTGCCCATTCCCGGAGTTATTGATCCGACCCGGTAAGCGTGTTTGACTCCGCCGTTCACGTATGTTCACACGGATGCGTCACATAATGATGGCTAAGTTGACGTGTTTAAATGAGCGTCTCCATGCGAAGAGAAGGCAAAACTCATTGTCGACACCCGAATGACCAAATCGATCTCTGTTTCAGGGAGAGCGCAACTTTGGCCAGCTTTTAATTAAAAGAACGATCGTGGATGTGATACGAGGTTGCACGAGATAATCTTCCCATTAACATCGAAGTGGAGGAAAATAGAATTCTATCAAAGGTGGAAGGTTGTGTTTAATGCGCCGCTAGTTGTGCAATTAGTTGTTGAATTGATCAAGGACATGTCGGTCGTATTGATACATGATTCATGACAGTATAATGATTATCCAAGAGATAATTAAAAAAAAAGTGTAAGTATTAATCAAACATAACAAAAAATAAAATCATTATTAATTAAAACTCGTAATAATATTAAAGAGTTTAATTTTTTTAATACTTGCTTTCAATTAATTTATTTCTTATCAAACGATAGATTTTAGAAAAATTAAAATAAATTCTTATTATTTAATGAATAAAATAAATTTTATCACTGTGTGATACTAGAAATAAGCAAATAAGAACAACGTTTGAAAATTCCATCTATTAACAGTTAAAAAAAGTTTATTATGTTTGGTTGAGACATATGAAAGAGATTAGAGAAAGATTTTATATAGTTAATATTGGAATGTGCGACACACATGAAGCAATTCATTTGTTAGCGATATGTCTCTTTTTTCGCGAAGGAGGACGTTTCGCGCGCGAGACATGCATGCGCTAATTTTGATTTTTTGTTGATTGTACGCGATCGATACCAAGCAAGCTCACGCAATGCATGTAATTCTAAGGGACCTACATTCAGGTCATCGAATGGCAAGTAACACAATGCAATTTTCTACCGAGGCTTCCTCACGCCGCGACAAAAAAAAAGAAGGTCGTATAACTCTGTTCACATCGCTCCCGTCGAACTCACTTTCGAGGCATCGGAACTCATTGCTCTAATTGCTACTAATGATGAGAAAAAGTACTCTTTGTTATCGCGTCGCTATTGCGACGTCTGATATTTATCGATGTTCTATGAATAGAATTTATGATATTGCGAGATCAATGATAAAAAGATGGGAAGAAAATAATTTCAAGTTATCATATCAAATAAAAATATGACGATGATAATTATATCCTAATTTGTCGTTGCAAAATATAGTTATTGATTATTATTTTTTTATTTTAATTTTTACTTAACTGTTATTTTAATTATTGTTTTTTGAATAATGCATCAAATATTTCGAAATATTATGACACATTTGTTACAATAAATTACGTGTTATGTTCGCATTTTACAGCGAGTTGTTTTTCACGCTGACTCATACTCATGGGTATAGTTTAATTAATTATAGTCCTTTTGTATCTGATGGTGCAATATTTTGTAACAGAACTAGAACAGTTGGATTCGGTTGTCACGAATATTTCGGCGAGTTGAAATGAACAGTTGCATAAATTTGTCTCTTTTCGTGATAGAAGTCAGCTTTAAGATCGAAATTCGCGTTGCATGCATCGTTGAAGTTTACGAGCGATACCTTGGAAAAACAAAAAGACATATCGAGGGTAACGACAGATAACGATGACGAGGGTGGTGCAGCAGGTATAGTTTAAGCGACGTGAAGTTATCGCGCGGCTCATCTTCGAATCACCTGCGGCAGACCGGCGATGTGCAATTGTCACGTGTGTCAGTTTATCAATAATGTGCAGCAACGTTTCCAGGATATTAACCCATT